TTATAATAAAGATATATGCCTTTGAGACATAGCAAAATTATTTATTATTTCATTTAATAATTAATATCAAAACTTACTTCTTGGTGTTTATCATTATCATTTTTTGACTTTTTTTCAAAATTGAAAATACTAAAAATATTTTTAGTATTTTCCAGAATAAAATTTAAAAACAATAACAACTTGAGTAGGTAATTAAAATAAAATAAAATATAATTTAAATTAAATTAAATGTAGGAAGTTAATGAGGATAAACAATAAAACACGTTACATGTACGTCGCACAGTCGCACAGACTTAACGATTCGAAAAATACGAGTGAAATATTATTATTATTATATAAGTCAAATCTTAGAAATTAATTTATCCTGTTGTCTATGACATAATACGTGTATAACCAATAACAATTAAATGATGCTGTTGAAAATTTGGGGGTGCTAATATGAATTTTGGGGGTGCTAAGCACCCCCAAAATTGCGCCTATGACGGCATGTCGCGGGAAGTAGTGGTCTCGTCGTTTCATAAAACTCGAGCCGGCTGGTCGGTCTGGTGATATAAGAATCTGTGATAAGACTATAGGACCCCTGGTGACACTCAGGAAGGTATATTTAGAACAACTCTGTGAAAAAAAATTGGAAAATATTAAATAGTGTCGTCACAAAATTGGAACACTAAAAATGCCTGTTCTTTTATATATATAATTTCTATATAATACGTACATAATAAAATGAATTTAAAATGTAAGAAGTATATCAATGTTTTCTGGGAGGTGGTGAGGGTATTGGAAAAGAGGAGGCATCCGTATCAAGAGTTGTATTCAAAAAATTCCAATCACCCCCTGTCCATCACTAGCTCGTGCTTTCTATAAAGAAAAAATAATTAGATATTATTATTGGTGCTCGCGGGATCCGGCTCCAAAGTTTGACGGAGCTTCGGATACGCTGTTGAAGTATTATACACCGATGACTATAATATATGAAAGTATAATATTTCAAAGTAGGAGTAAGCTTAGTATAGTTTAGGAATCTAACAACCAAATACAAAATAATTGGTTAAACCGCAAGTTATTTGAATATTTTCAAATTTATACTATAGGTAGGTAATATGTATAATATAAAATATAATACTATAGGTACAACACTATTATTGCTTATAAGACATATTTTAGTAGCTAAGAATATCTAATCATCACCATATCTTTTCATTGTTTTTATATTGACAAATTGTTCAGGTACCTATACCTACCTACGTATTTATATGTGTGGGCTCGTGTGCACAGTGATTAACGATGATATATATTATACTATACACATTTTAAATAGTTTGTCTTACTTAAGGAGTTTATTAATTATTCACGCCTGCTGTACAGATGGTATAACATATCATCCCACGCCTTTCGTATACATATTATTATCATGTGTGTCTAAGCATGATGATCTACGTACGTTAACATTGTGATAGTGATGCTATTACTCAAGGAAATTATATTATTATAATATAATTATCAATATATTATATACCTAGGTATATACCGATCATTATTTTTGTGTTTGCATCTGCATACGATTTAAGAGCAAAACAATGTAATATAATAACGGACTTGTGTTTTTTAAACATACATTATAACTTGTTTTTAACTCGTACTCTTAAGGCAGGTGTTTCTATTGGTAATGTCTAATCGTTTATTGAAGTGTCAGCGTAGTCCAGTGGAATATTAATGATTTTTCTTTTTGGATTTGATGATCAAAAATTAATATCCCTTTTTCTGTACTTTAAGATTGACCTAAAACTGTTTATTTGAAAAAAAAAATAAAATATTTAAACTTAAATAAAATATTTCTTTGAACGGTAAAAACCTTTTTACCTAAGGTCTAAAAATACTAGAATAATAATAAATGTACCTACATTTTTCGTTGTTTACGAGTGTGTGTCGTAGATACAAAATGTATATTTATTAAATTAATTATTAAAACATAAAAATAAAAAAAGGCTCTGAGGGTGGTATATACGTATCTATATATCTATATCTATGGTCATTCTTCCCCCTCACGCCAAAAATTGCCACTGCGAGATTCAACGTTTCGATTTAGTTTCGTCTGCAGATTTGTGTTGTGGATTTCTGGAATAGTGGAACATATTATAGTCGTTTGAACGCGTATCATATCATAGTCAGGCCCTGATTTACGCAAGTGCAGATGGAGCACTTGCACTTGGCCCCCAATTTTTGGGGGCCCCCGATCTCCGTGAATTGTAGAAAATTTTCTGTATTAAAATATTTTTTTAAATTAATTATTTTTAATAAATTATAATTCCCATAGACCTTATACTAGTATAAGTTATTCTTCACCTCAATACGTCATATTAAAATAATAATAATAGAAAATTGTTCGAACATCGGAAATATTTGATACATAATAACTATTTATAGATTTCTTCCAGCCCAGTATTTACTGATTAACCGGTCGTTGGTGACGCATTTCGCTCCCACAATTACCATTTTTAGAACTATTGGTTTAGGTTATTCAGTTATCCACGGAAATGAATATCGCAAAACAAATGTTATAAAGAAACTAATATATAAAAAAAAAATTTTGAATCAGTTATCGAAACTTTTGCAGAGAAAAAAGCAAGAAAGAAATCTTTTTAAACTTTTTTTGTGATAAAATGTTATAGCTAAATAAAAATATAAATATAGAAAATATAGAAATGATTTATTTTTTATTTCATTTTAATTGTATAAAATAAATTGTTGAACTAACAAGTTATTTACCATTTTTATAATTTTATGGAAGATTGATAATTAATTATGTTATTTAATTAGTATTATCTTTTCAATGTCCTTAATTTACCAGACCAAGTAACTAAATTGTATTTATAGTATATCTGTATATGAAATAATGTACAAATATTTTATGAATTTTGAGATATTTATTTAATACTTAACATATAAATATTTTGTTTTATTATCAATATTTCCTCCTACTCTCTGTACAGATTTTTTCTAGAACATTTTTTTGACTTGTGGTGGTGGCCGGTGGGGGTAGGGGGTAGGGGGCCCCCAAAAAAATTGTGCACTTGGCCCAAATTTTATTAAATCAGGGCCTGATCATAGTTAAGGTATACCTAGTCATATGGCATGTAGGCAATATATATATAGTACCTTAAAATACGTATATCTACGTATTTGTATATTATTGTACAATATGAGGTCGATACCTATAAGCTATCTCGTTCGTATAAATACCCCCAAGTATATAGTATAATAATATCGTATATTTATTAGCTATATATACTAATATACTATACCTACGACCGTTTGTTTTGTAATATCGATAAAGTCTCGGTAAATCGTCGCGTAAGCTGTTGTTGTCCCCCACAAGATGTTTGCAGCGCAAACAACGAACCCCATTATACCGATTACCGGGGCGGTCGTGTAAATGTGACTGTATTTTAGAAGACGATGGGTGGTTGGCAGGGCTGATGGTGTACACAGCATATTATTATACTATATCGCTTTACAAGCTGCGAGCGTATAAAGAGGTGTATATTATGTAAGCGTAGCGGCTGCACGATAAACAGACCGTTAAAAGTTATTACTTAGGTATTAGAAATAATTATATCCTATGTATTTTATACGCCGTTCGCTGTATAGGAGGGCATATAATATCTAATCAAGGGCCGTTATATACCTATATGTACTATACATGCTGTAAACATGCGAGGGCTATAAATGACGTCATCGCGATGAGGGTGATATTGCGTGGAGAACGAATGAAAAATTCATATTAATTATATAGATCTAGCTAACAACCAGGTGAGTGACACAGGAAATCGTGGTAGTATATTATAGCCTTATCCGCGTGAATTAATTAAAAAACAATTTTTGTTTTACTTTGCCCGTGATAGGCTTATTATAATCAATAGGTGTACCTGCCTATATATTTTGTTATTATCTTATTGTTGTTTTGAGGTTTCGTCAAAAACGTAAACCAAAATCATCACGTAAATAAAGAGTTGACAATATTAATTTACTATACCTATGTAAATCATAATTGTTTTGAGAAAATCAAAGGTATTCGTTTAGTATGTGACCTAAGTACCTAACCAAAGCGACCGCGTGACCTATCGTATTGTGTATTCGTTTAGTATTTTTCGTTTAATCAAATTACATCTCAATATATTGCATCTTAAAATATTTATATTAATTGTCAAACCATTATTGTATAATGTACACCATATCTTATTATTAGGTAATAAATATTAATATTAAAATTATCTTTTATTAATATAATGTTACTTGTTAGTCTATAATGGTCACCATTTAATTGCATTATTTATTTTTAAATAATATTTGTTCGGACTTTATAGATGATGATGTAGAAAATATGATGATTTTGAATGAACTTCGTGTTGTTGTCACTTCGAGATAGAAATTTTCATCGTTTATATAATATATATTTATGACTGTAACCTAAAAAATATAGGTACTGTATACCAATATATTTTTACGAATATAATAAAATAGTAACCACCAAGATTACTCTTTACTTATATACTCGTAGTATCAGTCGGATATCGTATTTTGAAGAGTTATGATGGAGTGCGCCTTGACAATACGTTCTCTTATATTATATATATATGTGCGCCGTTCACATCGGGAAAAACGCATTTTGATGATAAATATTTTAGCTTGATTAAAAGTAAATTTTACCAGTCGAATCGCTGAAATCACTTTAAAAAATGAAAATGACACTCGCATATAGGCGCCGAGGATTCCGACTCACTATACATTCTTATTTTTATATTCGTTTTATAAGACAACTGGGGCGTGTCGTTTTGTCTTTTCAGTGTGCTTATAGATTAAGATTTGCCATTCCCTCTGGAGGACGATTATATCCGTAATTTTTTTTCAAACCCTTTGTGTGGTGGGCATATGCGACGGTTGTCTTTTGTGTAGTATTGTTTCATGCATGATGATGATGTGTGCTGGGATGAATAATATTAATGTGCGTGTATGCTTTATGTGTGTTTCAGTACCGATGTCGAACAATCAAAACCAACAAGTCGACACCTCGATCGTTGAAAACCAAAAACTGTCAACACAGGTAACGTATAATATATACTATATATTATATAATAAATATCTAAACGATTCCGTCTGAACACCGTAGTGCATATAAATTATGCGTAAACACTACACATTCAATTCTAATATTATGTATATTATACACGAGCCAGATGATTTGAATATTACAACGTAGAAATACGTTTAACATCGCAGGGTGATTCACCCCTATTTTATCCTTTATAATTAAACATGCGTTTATGCAAATTCTTATTTTTGAAATATTTAAGTATACTTATAAATACCGTATTACGATTATATATTACCATTATAGGTATGGCGTTATAATATAATATATGAGCATGAGACTGCAGTGGAGCACTTTTGTAACTTGCTGGCTTATCAATATATTATTATACAAGATTATATTCTGCTATATAATATATTATCCTTAACACAAAACACTATTCTTTAGTAGGACTAATTGAAATCGAATAAATGCAGAAAATATTAATTTGGATTCAATTTTACTGTTGACATTTTACATTTCTCATCATTTCGTGAGATATCAAATATCAAAATGTTAGACGAAAGGTTACAAAGTAGGTATACACTGCAATGTGAAATAGTAATGAAAATACTGCAACTATAGTATGGTAATTTAATATTACATATATTATGGTGTGTAAGCAAAACGACATGTCTGTGACCACAAAATATCATTTTCTCTGTGTCTCTCGCTATCGTGTACTAAGTACTTACACAGTTACACAGTTGCACAAATTATTTCTATAGATATATACCTACTTGTGTCTTGAGTGTATAACCTAGTGGGATTGTCTACTTATATAATTAGAGAAGCGATTTCATTCATCGTCACGATTACGTTACAAATAATTAATTTTTTTTAATAATAATACAACTAAATGATCTATATAACAATACCAAATATAGGCGAATAATATTTATGATAGGTACTATAAATTATTTTTTCAATATTGTTGTACAAGAACATTTGTTGGTACGGTTATAACGATGAGAGTGTGGACAATTAAAAACTTACATTTTCAATTTCTCTAAACAGTAATTAACAGAGTATTTATATGTAAATATTTTAAAATATTCAAAAATTATGTAGATTGTTATAAAACCGAATAAGTTACAAATTGATCGTATATGAGATTAATGAGAATATTAGATACGCGTATGCAAATGCATTTCAACGTGAACAGTAGATTGGATCTACTCGATCTAGGTACCTACTTTGAACATATTTAAAACACAGCGTATAACAGAGAAAACAGATTATTAAAAATTAAAATAAGCAAAGAAAAGTGAAGGTGAATGTAAAGTGTAAGCTGGTATTTAGGCTTATAGAGGTGTTTAGAGTAGTCTGGAATGCACGAATGCGATTAACTGTTAAGAGATAAATACGTATTAATGTATTATATACGTATGTACCTATATAGATTGTTGAAGGTATAGGGACAAGTGGTGTTTTTATATAAACACTCGAAATGAAATATTTGAATATCATCATCATATAAAATATTAGGTACACGGTACACTTTACTTCAATGCTGTAAAATAATATCGAATTGAAGTGCGTTATTTATATCCGAGTAGTTGGAGTAGACGTCATGCATAAATAATAATAATAACATACTATACTGCAAAGTTGAGGACCTATATTATTATTACTAGTCCAATCAAAACGAATTCATTGTTTATAACAATAATTTAAAGAACTTCAAAATTAAAACTATAACAATTTTTAATAACGATTAGAATAATGAGCGTATAATGTGGTATGGTGTTAATTACAAATAGTTTAAACGCAATTAAATTCACGATAAACGATCGCACTTGGTCAATTAATTATTTTGTAGACCTTAATTGTTCTATGCCGGTGTCTCGCAATCTTGTAAGGTACAAGGTATGATCCAACGAATTATATTTTAAACACAAATTGTCTGTATTTTTTACTGTAGGTAGGAGTTACCTACACAGCGAAACTTTTATTTTTTTCTTGACGTAACCCAAATTTGTTTTCACTAGATCTCTGCAAATAGATTCACGAGTCTTGACCTACATTATAATAGCTGGTTACTAGGATTGCTGTGTGTAATCACAGTGCAGTATTAATAATCGAGTAAGTACCTATAGTAATATAGTATACGTTGAAAATGGAGAACAATCTAGAAACTAGAAAGCATAAGAACGCGATGCACTTTTGTCGAGACCGTGTATTAATTATACTATAATATGTACTGCACAATGCGGATTGCAGTTTTAGTGCAGTGTAGCGTATCGTGTCCGACGATAGTTCGCCGCGTTGACGTCTGAAGGCCGATATCAGCGTCAAAATTTTGACGGGTCACCTCGATCGGCGTGGTCATCTTCGTTACACGCTAAATTGTTGCTAAAAGCAATTTTATTCGACTCTATAATCGCTAGCCCTGTTGACGTGATGGGAAAAACGGGACGACGCCGTTCATCGTGTCCGGACGGGTTGGTTTTTCCGATTGGTCGTCAGTCGACACGAACTATATTAATGTGTGTGACATTATTAGAATACAAAACTATTCCGTTACCTATAATAGGTTATAGGTACTAAGGTATTAAGTAGGATGCAGTGCGTATCACAACTTTTGTCCTTGTACATACCCGTCTCCTTGTACGACTCCTCAATCTAACCTTTTGTACTGGAAGAAATAATATAGTATAGGGATTTGACTTTTATATATAGTATCCACACAAAGGTTAGGTTAGGAATGTTTAGATTTTTGAAAAAAACTAAAATAATTATTTCTTTTCATTACTGGTGAGCTTAGGTAAACCGAAAAATACGTACCATACGAATGTATAATATTATCTAATCTCAGTTATAATATAAACTTCTGCACCTTTAGCATTAAAACATTGAACATACGAATCAAATAAAGAATAATGATTATTACGGATATTTTTCAATCAATTAAATGTGTAGGTATTAGATGAAACGTTTTAATTTTGATAACCTATCGTATAGAGATCAGCGTTTAAATCAAGCACGGTACAATTATTTGACTGTTAAAAAAATATATTTATTCTCATGAGTACACCGCCGCGATACGCAATTGGCTTAAAAACTGGAAGTCTAAGTGTCTGAGCACCCTAAATTAGACATGGTGTGGCGGTTAACTATTAATAATCGATACTCCATACCTGCTGTATAATAATATAATACCTACTATAGTGGTGTCGCTACATTATAACATGGTATATGTTATTCAATGTTATCGGATCTGGCGATGTGTGTAAGATGTAAAAATATTAAAGTATTAAATGGTTGACTGCCAGCAGTGTCACCCCAGAAAAGTTAGGAACGATAGGAAAATGTTTTGGTCAGTGGCATTTGTGCATAAAGTTATCATTTCCGCTGGCTCGTGACGCGATCCGTTTAAAAACGCGTCTTGAAAAGAATTTGTCTCGCGTGTCGCTGGGAACGAATCATTTCTATAGAGATTCAAAAAGTGTGTGTTACGTCTGTATAGAGAACGGCCGCGCTGCGCACGTTGCGAAATAATGTGACGGGCACTTAAATGTTTTCCGTGGAAGTTTCAAGGTCTGCGCACCGCCGCCTTAAGAAAGAACAAATGGCGCCCGGTGTAGGTGTCTCGTTCTTATTCTTGTTTAATGAAACGAAAAAAAAAATTGTAAGATTCATTATATTATTTCTGCTAGCAAAGACTCGAAATTATACTCTCAAAATCATAGTTTATAGGTTTTTTTTTGATTTGACATAAATAATAGGTATAGTTTCTAAGAATACCACGACCGCGGTTGTTGCATGCGTTCGTATATTAAGCCGGACTCACCTTACACCGTTGTTTCGTGTAGAGTTGAATGTATTCAATCTTTAGGTAACCGCATGTTACCAATATTTTGTTACTTACCTATTCAATAAATATAATATACGTATAACCCATACGACATGAAACGGTGAAGTGTAAACCAGGCTCTAAGCCAAGTTTTGAGTTCTATATAATAGTCAATATACGTACAGGTATAACCATGTAGGTGCAAATAGCATGGTTATCATTGTATAACCACCCCCCCCCCCCACAACTAAAAAAAAAAAATTACTAGAATATTTCACTATACATATCTTAAGTTGTAAAAATGTAATTCTACTTATACAATGCAACGATCACGGTGTATAGTAAATATTTATAGAGTCGTCTTCATGACAAATGCATGACTTTTAGTACCAATGATTATACTATACCGATGTTACCACTACTTACCACTGCAGATTATAATAAAATCTGTGATTTTACGTTGATCGGGACAACGATTATATTATAAGTGTCAGTTGGATAAATTTTTACGATGTCACTGTAATTTCACCCCGGTGAAATCGACATGATCCACAACTGTGGAATGAATTGTACACTTCTTAATATAATTAAATAATGTTGTTGTTATTGACATTTTCAGATCGGAGGAACGTCAATACTGTTGGAACTGCAATAGTCGAATAAGTCCTCGATGCGGCCGACGGCTGAGCAGGCACTTGGCCCGCTCTGTTTCGGTGCCTCCAACGAGGAACGTCCATAAATCAGTGCCATGTATTATTAGATCTAAGTCAATGCCATACCGTGAAAAGGACACCAGAAAAATGCCAACGAGTAAGTCGTGTATGTGTTATGTGTACATGTAGTTCCCATTTGGACATAATGTAATGGTTTTCATTCGTTGTCTTTTCTTTATGTACACAGACTTCGAAAATTCTTCGATCAAGACCTGTTTCTCATTATCGTCGCTGCACCCCTCTACGGTCAATGTAGAGGGTGAACAGCAAGCGGCGCAGAGACCGTACAACAGCCTTACCAAAAAAATCAAGTAATTTTATTTAATTATAAAACAATGTAATACAATATACACGATTATGATGTATTATATTCTACAAATTAATTTTGCAAAAATCTAAAACGTATAAATGTCCTAGGAAAAATGAGACCACGAATCAGGATTGTTGGAGAGGTGATAGTAGTTACGAGTTCTTGTCCAGTCTGAGGACAAGTTATCAGTATCTGATGGACAACAACTTGATCGAAAGCTGCAGAGTAAGCAACATAATGCGTATTATACTATACATTTTAATAATTTGTTAAGTCTATGAATAAAAATAAATAAATTAGTTACCATAGATAATTATAAAGTTAAGCTGTTATATTCAAGTTCTTTTATGTCAAAAACCAATTGATTTATTATTCGTAATTTTTATTGATATTTTTTATTTAGTCACTTTATAAAATACAAACTTTTGAAGTTAATATTATTTTTATATTTTAGCTAAATTATTTATTTTTTTTTTAAATGTATTATACTTACCTAATACCTACCTATAATACAGACATATATTATACGCCCATGTCAGTAAATAGGTAGATACTCGAAATCAATTCAAGTTGTAATTTACTAGGTTACTAGTATAAGAACGTGGTTTTAGATACCTACTTAGTTTTAATAATATATTACCTAAGAAAGAATACAAAATATTTCCGATTTCATTTTCATAGTTTTTATTGAGTTTTTAATTGAAAACTAGTGTTTTCAACACATGTTTATTGTTTCGTCATATTTGTTTATTTTATTTTAATGATAGCCAAACATAATGTCAATAAATTCATTAATAAATGTTTTTATTAGGTCAAAAAGCTTGAAAATTTAATACAAGTCTCTTAATGTATTATTACAATGGTAGTTGAAAAATATTAAAAATACATAATCACATTTTTTTTTATAAGCATTAAAAGTTTGAGTTTTGACAAAATACGTAAAAATCACGAAAATGTGCAAATTATTTTGAGTTGGAAATTCATAAAAACTTTTTTTTTTTAAATCTAAGATTAGAAAATGTTATACAAAATTCATCATAAGTTTAACAACCTTGGTCAAAAAAAAAAAAAAAAACCAGAAGATTAAATTAAATTTTAATGAGCGTTTGAAGTTTTACAACATTAAATATTCACTCGATTTGTCATGTTGCGATTTTGTTATTTTGTTGTAATTCAAAAACGAATAACTGTAGACATTTAAAAATGTACACCATTTGTTTATTTTATCATATTCTATATTAAAATGTTTACAGTATTTTGAGTCGTTTAGTCGTTTATGGACATTTTCAATTTTCGATTTTTTAAATTTTTTTTCTATGAATTTCAATAAAATTGTATTTGTTGGGTCCAAATCCTTGAAAATTTAATACAAGGCTCCTCACACATTATAACAATATCAGTTTAAAATACATTGGCAAGAGTTTTTTTTATAAGTATTTAAAGTTCAAATGTCAACAAAATTTATCATATTGAAAATTAACAAATTTATTTGTTGTTAAAAAATTATAAAATATTTAAATTTTATAGCTGAGTATTGAAAATTTAAAACAAAGTTGCACGTAAGTAGTTAATTATGTAACCAAAAAATCTAAAAAATATATATAAACACAGTATTTTTTAAAGTTATTTTAAGTTAAAATTTGAACGAAATTACAAATTAAACAACCAAGAATAAAGAGTTTAGTTATTTTTTTGTTATGTTATAATATTAATTCAACTTACCACGTACCATATTAATAATAAGTTACAACAATATAAATAATATATTATAAAAATATAAAATATCCTAGACTGACAAATATTCTCTGTTCAGAATCGTTTTTTGTATCCAATAATTTTATATAATTTAATTCAAATTTAATACCATCCATTACAGTGACCCACTTGTATTATAAACTTACCTGTTTTTATTTTATATTGAGAAGTATAGTACTCCAATAAATAAAAATATAATGTTTTTAGTGTGTTAGGGTAAACAGAAATATTTTAAATTAATGAAATTTATAAATGTTGTTAATAAAAATAAATATCAATAGTTTGGGTTTTATTAAATGTTTTAGTAAAAACTTGTGGTGAATAACACAAACATTTTATTGTACCTAAAAAGGTAATTACTTAAAAATTAAATTTGTCTGGCAAAGAATAGGTTATATAGGGTGATTAATGATATCTAAGATATCGACGAGTCAATACAAATAGATAATGCAATGGCTTGGAATGAATGAAGAAGTTTGGTAGTCGGTAGAAGTGTGTAGAAGGACTTAAATAACACTGAAAAAAAAAAAATAAATAGTTTTGAATATTTATTACAAGTTTCAGTATACATCATGCAAATGGCCAATAAAATATAAAATAATAATAAGTAAATAAAAAAAATATTATTTTCAATTTAATATATATTTTTTTATATTTTGTGAGTATAAATATTTACATGTTATCTACAATTGGTTAATTTATATTATTTATTTACAGGAAGTTGGATGTGACCTTAACAATACTTCACCGATTCAGGAATGGAATGTTGAACGATTAAATATCTACATCAAAGAGTTAGAAAAAAGTTTTTGTTCAGGCTCTGAATCAAAACCCAATAGTTGCAATTTGACAGAAAATGTATTATCTCCTAAAAGACTGGTATGATTTAAAGGAATTCATTAAGATTAAAGTACATATCAAATTTCTATGAATAACAAATTAAATAACTGATTTGTTTTTGATTTTTAGAGTATGAGCGAAGAAGTTCGTAGACTGAATATATTGCGCCATATAGCGCAACTATCCAAAAGACTGCCACACTGTCGAGAACCGTCATTGAACCAAAGCTGCTCGTCCATATATAATGCACATTACTTAGGTTATTATCTAAGAATCTTAGAACTTTTTTCAGTTATGATTCGTTTTTAAATTTTTATTTATTTATTAATTTAGTCTACGATTTTAAAATACACAAAACTCGCTTAAAAATTAAAATATAATAAAAAACCTATCTAATTGTATAGATAATTATCTTTAAATTTTATAATAGCTCAATTCTCTCTAATTTTTAAACTAATGGAGATAAATGTGTTCTTCTGCTGAGCGTTAAAGTTGCTATGTTATGCACTTGTGAGACAAAGACAACAAATGTCACTGTAACGTCCCTTAAGTAATACAATAAAATACTATTGATGTTTGTGAAAACACTGTCACACTTTTTAAGGGATTTAATATGGATCATTTTTAAAATTTGCTAATAATACTTAAATAGAAGTTTAAACTTTACCATAAAAAAGTAAAAAAAAAGTAAATAATAACGTTATTGGGAATTTAAACTTTTGGATTTTAAAATTATATTATAGCCAACATTTTGAAACCAAATTTGTACATAATTTTATACCGTTTTTATCAGTTATGCATATTAGAGCGCTGTTAAACATAATGGGTATGATGGAGTCCTCTTCATATTTAACTCAATCTACTATGTACTATTCACTAACATGGAAACGGTTCAACATAATGTAGATCCTATTTTATATTTTTTACTTCAATATTACTATGCAATATGTTGCATTTTTCTTAACGGTCTGTCAATATGTGTACTATATTTAGATTTTAAACTGCATATCAATTATTAAATGGATTCATTCTCAAGTATAATATGATGTCAATATGCATTTTATATTCAATATTCTAACAGATCATATTCTTAAATGAAATTATCGATTTTTTTTATTGCGGGCCATGTGTTTTTGGTATGCACTATAAAAAGAAATTGAAAACTTTATTTTCAATTCTCTTGTGTTTGTTTTTATATATTATAGAATCCCAAAATAAAAATACATTCATTTTGTTTCAAATTAAATATATAATTTATGATGAGTAGAGAGCACGTAAGTGTTAAGTCTTTCAATCATTGATTACAATCACCTTTCTATATATTATTTAAAAAAGATTTTTTACCACATCATCAGACCTAATATACAAATTATATTTATTATATTATGGTCTATTATAATTTTTAAACATAATATTTTGAGAAATCAGAAAAAAAACATACTACTTATTAGGAGTAGCTTTTCCTAAATATTTCTTAAGGAAACACTTAATTTTAATCACATTTGTTTAATGGCCAGAATTATTTTTCATATATGACTAATTATTGTTAATTTCAACTTTATACTGAACTTTCATATTTATATTACTTTACTATCTTTTACTGAGTTAAATGTCAGCTAGTCAAATTAGAATCCTCAACAACCAGTCAAATTGTTCTACTTTTTTTTTTTTTTATGCAATAATGAATGCATAATAAATTATGTACTTGAATAAATTACAAACAATTTAGAGCTGCATAGGTATAATATTGAAAATGTGTTAATTGGCACATACTTTATTTATGTCAAAATATATTATCATTGATATCGTAACAGTAAACTCATGGGTATATTAATGATAGTAAGTTAGAACACTTTTAAAGCGCCAGTATAAAATAACATTGGATACTATTTTATTCCCAAAATAAATTATAAACATAATTATTTTTAATTTAGGTCCAGTTAAAAAAAAATAAGAAAAATATTCTAGTTTGTAAAGCTATCATATTTTTGTAATTTTAATACTATTGAAAAGTGTTCAGACAAATACACACAATTTGTGAAAACAATTTTTACATTTTGAAAATGTTTTTATTATCTATTTAATAATAATCAATTTATACCTTTAACTAATTTTTTACAATTGAATTATTTAAGAAGATGTCAGCGCACTATTTGTTTTCTCTCTCTGGCACACGCTTAACATAGACAAAATGTATTTTCGCAGAATTGTTTTTTCCAATTTTTGAAGTAATCTTGGAGTAAAATCACCCATTACAAAAAAGATAGAGAATAATATTTTTGGGGGAATGACAATTGATTTCTCTAAATGAAGGGCTCACTGCAACAAAAAGGCAAGTCCATTATTATCAAAAATGAGTTTTTATGGAAGAAATTCTATGGAAGAAATACTATATTTTGGTAGCAAAATCAGAAAAATCGTTTTATTATTTCCAAAGATATTTTAAACTGAATTATTTCCTGCCAAAAGGGGTAAATGAGATAAAGAATTTTGTTTTGCTTCTCCTGAACAATTGGTAAAAGTGGACTTGCTTCGTTGTTGCAGTGAGCCCTTCAAATATTGTTTCACAACAATTTAAACATCATTAAAATGTACAACATTTTTTTTGTTTATTTTGAAAGCCGAATACAAAATCAAATAACAATAAAATATAAAACGATATGTCATTCCCTCTAAAATATTATTCTCTAACTTTTTTGTAATGGGTGATTTTACTCTAAGATTACTTAAAAAATTAGAAAAAACAATTCTGCGAAAATGCATTTTGTCTATGTGGAGCATGAGTCAAAGAGAGAAAACCAATAGTGAGTTGACATCCTTTTAATTAAGATTTATTTAGCTACATTAATATAACTCCATAACTTGATAGTTTTAGGACTGTAATAATTAACTTCTGAGAAAATAATGATTAAATTGTGTTTAAGTAATAATGAATAACTGAAATGAGTTTGTAATGTATTTTAAAGATTATGATTAATGGTGTCAGTGCCGGTTTTTCCAATTTTCCGAAATTCTATGAAATTTTAAAATTTAATTTTATATTTTAGTTACACCTTAATTATAATACTTTTCCATTAATCTCCTGCTCGATAGCTATTTAGGGTGGGGGGGGGGTTGAATGACACGTTATATTATATAAACGAAAATTGACCTCACAGGAAATACTATCAGCAATTTGAAGTATAATAATAATCGTAATATATATATTTCAAATTTATGCATGGACGTAATCATTATAAGCAAAGAATAATTGATTATTGATTAATTAAGTGTAATATTGTTCAATAATCAGTTTAAATTCTCCAAAATGTTAACACTATATAGTAGTAACAACTGTCAAAGCCGACGCTTTTTTTAGTACAAAAACATGTATTATAGGAAAAACTCTTACGCCCTGTAGAATAATTCATATTTAGTTAATTTTTTTTATTTAGAAAGAAAACATTTTTTAGTTCAGATTAAATGCCGAATTTTCATTTTACTTTAAATGGTGGTAAAAAAATAACAAATATTGTGCATAATTCAAATGCATATTTTAGCTTCTGTTATAATAATTTAGAAAATTGGCCTTTGATTTGACATGCAAAATATTTTCTTCTTTTAAATAAAAATAAATTTAACGTAATCCGACTACTCTACAGTGTGTGGTAGTTTTTCCTGTAAGACATGTTTTTATACTAAAAAACGCATTGGTTTGGACAGTTGTTGTTACTAGTGTTAACTTTTTGGAGAATTTAAATACATCCATCAGGCATCAGCCTAAGTGCTCACTGATTATTGAACAATATTAGTCTTAATTAATCAACTATAAATTATTCTTTGCTCATAATGATTATTCCTATGTATAAATTATAAATTATCATTATACTTAAAATTGTTGATACTCTTAATAAACAACAATACTATACCTATAACTTTATAAGTAACTCATCTGTGTATCTGTGTATCTACATTTCATAAAATAATCAATTTCAATGTTATAAAAATGGTTAAGCTTAAAAATTGTATGCAAACAATTATCATTCCTCAAGAAAATGCACTGTTAATATTTTAAATAAAAGCTCGATTTTTCAAATCTTTTTAAGATTCAGTACAGAATGTGATTTTTAAAATTTTTAAGTTTGTTTTGAACAGCCAATGCTTTTAAAACTGAAATAGGTAAACAAATTATAAAAAAATTGTTTTACTAACAATGTAAATGTATTATTATAAATAGTACATTTACATTAATGTTCAAAATGATAAGCTGAATGAAATATATATTTGATTACTAATTCAAGCCCTACTAATAAAAAAACTAGGAATTCAGAAATAACATGTGTCCTTGTACATTTAGTAGTATTAACACTTGTTTAATATTTTGTAGAAGTGAAATCAAATTTGAGATCTCTGGATCAATGGATGGCCCAAATGGAGGTGAGATTAAAACCCAATTATTTCCGAGTCAATTGGAGCAGCCGTGAAATCAGGCAAAAGGCAGAAGAGCACAAGGTAATATTTATTAATTGTTATAATAGGTAGTTAAGCCGAATATTTTTATATTCAATTTTATTTATTAGTTTACTTTTTATTTGAATATCTTACAAATTGGAATCAAAGTTAATACATTTTAATACATAACCTCACCTAGTTATGTATTTGGTAGGTACCTAATAATACATAAAAAGCTGCACTATTAAACACGAAATTACATGAGTAAACATACATCGCTTTGGGTATTAATAGTAGTTGAATCATTAGTTAATTTCTCTTATTCAAATTTTAACTTTTAATGTGGTTGGTTACTGCAAGAAGTTGGTACCAAAAATTCAAAATGTCATTTCAAAGTCATGTATTGTATATAAAACTGCAAATGTTTTATCGCTTGTAGAAAACAACAAACTTTTTTGAATTCTGCTCATGATATTATACATATTTATACGATGCATATATTTTTGATATAAAATACATTGTTGTTGCTACTTGCTATATTATTATACTACAATTTTGGATTTCGAGTGTTATTTATTTATCAGGCGCTCTACAGACATTGTATGGTGAGTGAATGTAAATAAAGTCATTTACCTTGATTTTTAGCAGGGGTGATTTACTAACGATTACAATTATTAATACGCGTTACTGTAAGATGTGAACCAAGAAGAGGAATGTTAATCTTTAAATTTATAAATTATATTCCGTATGGAATCTGTACGTATTATGAAAGTAATATGCATATTTGAAATAAATAAAAAAACAACCATTTACCGCAAGGTAAATCCAAAAAGTAATATCGAATTCTTGCGCACGTTCTTGGCTAAAGTAATTAATAGCATTTCTCTAAAATATCAAAATAATATAAGATGTAAACGTCACGCTCGTTACGGTTTATTTAAAAATCAACAATAATTAAAACATCACAATTATTTTGTTCTACGTGAGAATTAAAAGTTGTCTCGAATTGTATGCAGGCTGACCATGCAGGCTGGGTGTGAATAGTATATCTGTATATACAATTGTAATTTGTAATTGGTATTAAATTGTTTAGTCATGTCTGTTGAGCAGTGTGATATCGAATTGCCATTTTTATAATGATATTAAATACTAATTTTAAATTTAATATGACCATGAGTTTTATTCGAGGTGTTAAATTGCTGTAATTTGTGGGAGAAAAAAGGCGATTATTTCTTCTGATTGGTACTGTAAGTGTATTCTATTTTAATAGGTAAAAATTAATTTTTTTATGTATAGTACTAAATAATCAATAGTTGATTATTCAATATCATAATTTTTAAAACTATGGCTAATTTTTAATGAACTATAAATACTAGCTAGTATTATGTATTGTTAACGTCATTAAGTAAATCCTATACAGAGTATAAACATAAATAACGTAATATATTATAAGTTTTGTAAATAATGAATATGACTTACCTAGTTTCCTATATTGCATAAGTACCTCTTAGAGAAAATTTGAAATATGTAAACTGTCAACACATGACGTGTTTGTGTGCAGTTAATATATTGTTATACTTTAAAGATTAAAAATTATTATTGATATAAAAATTAAATTGTATTCACCATTATCAACACGATTCAATTCCAGTAAAATGTTAAAAGTGTTTGAATTCTTTCAGTTGAAATATGGCGCGTTCCGATGAAGTCGATTTACCGGTTATCTTTGCCTACCTTTTACGCTTTAGTGTTATTTTTAATAAATATCGATCTTATGGGACGAACTAGTTTGCAAAAAAAAAAATTCTTTTTAAATACTGATAGCGGGAAATTTAATGCCTATGAATAGGTACATAATACTAGGTATTACCTATTGCTTTCTTAAATTATTGTTGAATTATCATTGTTAAATTTTATTTATTATACTCCTAAAATATTTTATAAAGAAATTGTAGATATTTATGTATTCTAAAATATTGTTTGTGTTCAATCGTATTTAATGTTTTCTTTTATAAAATTTTCTGTTTTGATTTTCTATTTTTAAATTTTTTTAGGGGCCTTTAATTTTGCATCATATATTATAGTATTATAAATTATAACTATAACTGATCAAATATAATTATTATGTGTAATTGAAAATATCTAACAACTTAAATCATTAATATCAATAATAATACTTATTTTAAGGAAAAATGTTCAGTCTGATCATAAATTTCTGATCTTTTTTTATGTACTTATAACAAAACTATGTAACCATGTAAGTACTTCAATTAATTTAAAAATTAAAATAATGAATGTAAAAATAACGTAAAAAATTCGAAAAGAAGAAGAAATCATTAAAAACAGTATAACAAATCGAATTATATTTCATATTTCTATGTATGGAAATTATGTAGATAGCTTTATCACTATTGAATTAGTTCAATTACGTGAGTATTTAACTCTGTGTGAATCAATAATATTATATTTAGAAATTAGAAATCCTCTGAATAATATGAATATTCTTAATATTTGTGAATAGTATTGCTAAGTCATTAATTGACGTGTTTGGGTGTTCCTCAATCTATACACTGATTCATTTTATTGATTTATTTAACAATACCGAGTACGGTTACTACTTGGCTGGATTTGAAATTCTGCCCTGGAGCCTCTGATATCTTATTCTGAGCTTGTGTAATATGTATGTACCTATTGCAAATTAAGAATCCGGTATAAAAATAACACAATACTTGTTAATCTTTATCAAAATTTAAATAGTATTTTATAAGACCAGCTAAAATTCAAATAAAACAATGTAATATATTATATTGGAAAGTATATAGCCATGGAGGTACTTAATATAGTGATATATAAACAAATATGAAATAATAATTGGGTATCACATTTGAATTATTTTACATGAATCCGATATGTCATTGACACTTTATTATATTATAGTTAACGATAAGATAGTCCCCCCGAGGATAATTTCCAATTATGTTATGTGGATGCCTTAAAGGCCAAGGCTGTGTTTATATTATATTATGTCAGTGAAACAATGTCAAAAAAAAATTGTTCTGTGAATGTACTTGTCTGCTGCAGTTCGATTAGTATTATTATTATTCTAGATAGTAGCTGCTAGCTACCGAGTCTCATCTTTGGAAACGAATCAAATCAAATCAATAGTATTGTCTTTAGATGTTTTATATGGACCAATATAACATAATATACTCCTTAATTGGATCCGCACCAGTTCTTATAAGCCCAAGCGAGACAATTTTAACCGTGTGTTTATGTGCCCGTGTTAATAAGACAAGCTGTACTTTCTCTCAGCGTGCAAATCCCATTAAACTGCAGTATATTTATTTACTTTTTAGTTGCTCGTATTGAATTTTAAATTCACTGTTTACATCGCGGGCTTTAGTCTAGAAAGTAGGTATATACAACGTAGACATGGAATAATATAAAAATGACATTCGATCAGCTGATCTCGTTTTTGTTTACCTAATAACTGAACTCTGAAGTCCGAACCTCCGAGAAACATGGAAACAAGCTCTCGCACCAACACAAAGTTGAACATTTGTCTATCTGAGTTACGAAAACGTTTACTGACGTGGTGTCAAGCCTCCTCCAAGCCAAAATCTCCCGATTTGGCCATGTTACACAGTGTCATATGGCCTAATGAATACGCTGCGAAATTATTCGGAATTAGGTTTTTGTTGGCATTATAAGTGCTTCTAATTGAAACGTTAATAGTATAACCAAATAGGTATATGCATATGATTAACATAATTTCTATATGCTTAAGTACGTTAAAAGAGCATCGCTAATTACGGTTATGATTTAACTGTTAATAACAGTTTAAACAAGTAAACAACCATCAAAGATTATTGGGACCACACTTCCTCTTTGCGTTGCTCGGATAACGACCGCTTTAACCTATCGTTTAATTACCGACATAACCGCCCAAAGGTATATATAGAAAAATGGTAGAAAGGTATGGTAGAAAAATGGTAGAAAGGTAGGTATGGTAGAAAAATTAGATATTCTGACGGTTAATATTATTTTATACATAGCATTTTGTTCGTAATACATTATAGTATAATATTATAATGTGTGCTTTATTTTCTCTGGAGATCGTTGTAATGATGTACAGGCTATACATACCTTAATAATTAACCGTTGATGGACTTTATTTTATTATGATATCTCACGCTATAATGTTTAGGTTATATTATTATTGTGTCGAAGAAAGCAGCTGACGATGTTTTTAACAGCAGTATTTAGTTTTAATAACCTTTTAGTTAATATTGCTTAAAAAAAGTGGCTGTACATTTGAGAATTTTAATTTTTTTTCCGACACTAATTTACTAATTATAATTCACTAATATACTAAAGCAAATTATAAATTTAAAAACAATACATACCTTTACCTATATTCTTTATTCTGTTCTATTATGGATTGTTAAAAGCTGTAAGTTTTTTTTATAAGTCTTGCAGGTATTTGCCATTTGCTACCATGTAATTTATATTTTTTAACATATATTATGTACTCGTTGGGTATAAAATAATTTGTTAAAAACCATAATTTAATTTACTATAAGGTTTCTAACCCTTTTAGTATACAGTTCAGATAATTACCGAACAAATAGTTAATTTTTCAAATTCCTACAAATCGCATTAAAATTAAAACATTCATTGTTAAATAATTTATAAAATATTGACATATAATTAATTTAATATACATTCAGAGTGATTCACCAAAGAAGCTTACCGCCTTTTTTTCAATATTGCATGTAAGTTAAAATTTGATTTTTGGAATTTTAAATATACTTTAAGAGTTTAAAACTGTATTTTTAAATTATTCTGATATTTTGTAGGTAATACTATTAAGGAGTGCCATATGGAGATACAAACTCTTGTTTTTCAAATGAGAACCCCCTTTTTCCACTGTAAATTATATAACAGATAATTTTTCTGAAAATCTCAACGTTTTTAAATCATCAATATTTTATCAAAATTATTTAAATTTGGTTACTAAGGTAGTATAATCAGGGGTTAAAGTGGGCAAAAATGTCAGA